CAAATCATTGTAAATAGCAAAAAAGCAGTTCAGAAGTAGCTTTTCTTTCATGGTTGTAACCTAAAATTTGCCCATGAGACAAGTATAAATCTCTTGTTAAATAAACACAATCACAATAAATGACAAATATATTTATAAGTGTGCTTGAAATAATTGTGGACCAGATATAATGTTAGATCTCTCAGTGATCCTTTGTATCGGATAGTCATTTGTATGATCGTGTGTCACCGCTGCAGCAGGAAAAAGCTTTGGATCAGAATCTGTGAATTTTTTTTGATCGCTCTTCGCACAGTGTGCGTCTCTGGCTGTGCGCCAGGTCTGCGGCGTTCACAATGGAGAGGCCCTTTGTGCAAATCTCACACTTATAATACAGTAATATGGTCTACAAAGTGATTTCTAGATTCAAGTTAAGTTAAAACTCAAACCATTTTTTTCCCTTTTTTTGGCTGCTCGTTTGCTGTCCTGTTCTACAGTATGTAACATAGGTCGAGTTTAGATTTGTCTTTCTACGACTATTTCGTACAATATTTATGATTATTATTACAATCTATTATTTTTTATACAGTTATTCCTTCGCTCCGTGTCGAGCTCCAATACCAATCTAGGCGTTTCAGTCAATATATATAACCACACATTGGCAATAATTATTCCCTAATACTTTAATTTTAATGAGTGTTACAATGACATTTTTTAAACAGGTTGGCTTATCTCAAACGTTAGATTCAAAACCAAGACATGTATTAAACATATAACTATGGTAAGTTCTAATCGACCCAGGCAACGTTGGAACCATAACAATTGGGATCGGGGCCAAAAAGGTTGTGAATATCTGCACACTGTATACATGGAATTGAACTGGATTAATGAATAAATAACTAAAAGTGGCGGTGAGAAAAAATACCTACTTCTAATCTTTCAGAAGTTACCTGATTTCAGTGATTATTACAGGTTGACTAATGGACGGATACAAAATTAGCCAACTCCAAATATCAGGAATCAAACTGTCTGATACACAGTTATAAAAATCAAATACAGCCTGAGGTACATAAGGGGCAGAGACAAATGTCCATCAAATGTTGATAGAGTCCAATGAAATGTGCTTATCAATGATACAGTATTGGCAATTACACACATCTTTTTCTCTCTTTTATGGTACACTTTCAGTTTTGGAGATCCTCTCTTGTCACCCTTCATGAATATCTGGTGCTTTCTTGTATAGATCTCTGCTTTGCTAGTTTTGGTGGAATCTGCTTTACATCCATCCTCTGTGTTGTTAGATAGTGCAGGTTCCACTGTCTCGGTCTTCGATCCTACGTCTTCAGCCTCCAGCAGCTGGGACACAAGACCGGCTGTTCTTGCGTCTCGTTTGTGTAGATACGTTTTTTATTCCATGAAACACTGTGAGCAGAGGTTTATGGTCCGTGATAAAATTGAACTTTTGCCCTTCCTCCTTTCAATCTGGGAGTCATTTATCTCTTTGCCAGTGAGAGCGAAGTTTAGGAAGTCTCAATTCCATTTAATTTTGTGGTATATCCTGAATCAAACAGTTGGTATATCGGAGGGACTTTTACAAAAACTGTTGAATTTGCCAAGACAGATAGAGAATCAAACAGTTCAAAACACAACAAATGCAATGATAAAAAAAAACACACATGGAGCCTTAGTCTATAAGTAAACCGCTTTGAGACTCAGATTAAAATGTATCTGCAGTGAAAAGGCTGGTAGGGTAGACTTATACATAACATTAAATAGCTCCAAAAAAATAATAATAGTAGGCTGAAAAAAAACATAAATGGGCCTTGCACCCAATTGTTTTGAAAGATGTGTTCGATTTTAAAAAACATTTTAGTGCAAGTTGATGTGAACCATGATTGAGGAGTGTATCTCGATACAACACTTAAGTACTGGACAGTCGTAATTCAGAGGGCGATTATGCGCCTGCGCAACCTCAGACATGTCACTGTTAATTCAGCGAGGCTGAGAGACGCAGATAGAAACTTATAGCGGAGGTGGGCAATGTTTGGCGGGCCAACTGAAATGGTCTGGCGGGCCAACTTTGGCCCGCGGGCCCCACTTTGGGCACCCCTGGTATAAGGCTTACATGAAAGCAACACCGGCTGTAAGCGGTATTAGCCTACTATCAAAACGAGTAAGTATAGGCTACAAATACATAATATGCATTCATGATTATTATATGTATTTTCACTGTAGTGCAAGAGAGTGACGTACCATGTGACTACTCTGCTATACCATATATGCTTTATGTTTAATTTTCCTTTTGTTGCGTTCATGCAATTGTAGTAATACAGTAAATAAATCCGCTTTTGGCTCAGAGTTCACATACCTGCATTACAGCACTGTCTGTTCATATCCATCACATGTCGTCACAGGCTGGAGTTCGCTGGAGCGGAACATAAGTCCCCAACGGTGTTTCGCACTTCATTGTTCCTCGTGTTGCAACAAAATTCAGTAGTAGAAGTTTGGAGATGAATCCGCTCCAGAATAACTGCGATCGCACTGTTTCTCTCCAAACTGGGGTCAGCAGCCAATTTTCCACATGACTCTTTTTGTTCTTTGATATATTTTCAATAGAAAGCAAACATGAAGCAGTCCTTCCTCATTGACAATGAAAGCAAATGTTCCAGTCCATTCTTCCTTGAGTTCTTGGTTCTTATCAACTCTTTCTCTTTGTAGCTTTGGGATTTATGCGGACCTATGTGGGACATGCCGGTTTGTTTACAACCAGCGCTAGCTTTAGCCAATCAGCGCCGGGTTAACCTCAAGTCCCACCAGGGCCTAACCGAGTACATACCATGGAGGAGGGACTCCGTTGGGCCCCGTAAAAGTTCCTGTAAATGGCCCTGTGGGTAAGGTTCCTGCAGTGGAGACACGCACCAACGGGGCTGGCCCTGGAAAATTACCCCGAAGTTCCTGCGGTGGAAACGTGGCTATTCAAATGTATTTAAATGAGAAAAGAACAAAACTAAGTAAATGCAAATTCTCTTCTGGAGCTTTGGGAGTTACTAGTTTTTGAAATTCTTGATACATGTTTTGTCATATCATCTTGTACTTTGGGTTTTATTTCACAACACATGAATTGACAATGTAAAAAGTTCCTTTGTTTTTTTAAGCGTAAAACACAACACATGATATTTCTTCTTTAAACAAATTGATCAATTGAGAAGATATGAAGTCGGACACAACGATTAAGATCTCGCAGTCATTGCCCCCAAATGGTGTAAAGTGGTCAGGACCTTATGTTCTCGGATGTGACCACAGAGAGAGAGAGAGAGAGCGGTTACTACTGAACAGGAAACAGCCATAGCAATATCAGACATGTGCATATTTGTACACACAGTTTACACGCGACTCATTCTGGTCTTTACAATCATATAAACAGTACCTCAAACTTAGCAGAAAGTGTTCCATTGCTTTGGTTTGAAGTGAAGAAAAAAGGAAAAACTCATGCTGCAGCAGTTGTGACTCTGACATTCAAATTAAGATGAAGATTAAGATGAAGAGATCCTTTATTTGTCCCACAGTGGAGACATTTCAGTGTTGCATCGCTGGTTTCACAACTGTAGGAATAAGGGGTACACACAGCACAAGATAAATTAACAATAATGTATACTAATACTAATCTATACTAAAATGAAATGAAATAACAAGTTTAATCTAACATGTTTAGACTTTGCTTGGACAATGTATTTCTGATGCACTTTGCTACATATCATACTGTATATAAACCGGGTTACAAGTGCGACCGCTGCTGCCTCTGTCATTTCTACACAACCTTTGCATAATAAAGAGTCTAAAATCTCCAACTTGCTCAAAGTAAAAAAGATTGTTGCTATGTTTGCCAAAGTGTGTTTATGCTGTATGTAAGATAGATGCCTTGATCTGTGCTAAGATTAGTATGTTCTTGTGGGACAGAGACATTTGCAGACCGTGAGAATGCACTTATCGGACTCGACGTGGTTACTTATCTATGTTCATATCTATCACCAGACTTGTTGATATGTCAGATCTGATCCCTGACAGAAGCACGTATGTCACGCTGAACCAACTTATATTCACCCATACAAAGAGCAGATCTCAAACAGGACTATCTGGGTTTTGCCCGAGCTGCAGCCTTCTCTGGCTTTGTTGCTTTCAGAATTCAATTATTATTCATCTTTATTTCAGACTCAAGATAAAATTGGTCCATAAAAAAAAAAAAATATCAACAATAACAATAAAAGGACAATGCATTCAAATGTATAGAATCATTCCCAGGAGATTTAAATATGATAAAAGTGTATCTGTCCAGTGCTTTCTCAGAGCAGACGTGTAGCGACATGAGCTCATTCTAACTTTGGTCAGAGTCCAAATGATGCTGTTCTCAGACTCCTCCAGACGTTCCTTGAACCGAAAGGTTAGATGCCGTATCAGAGCTTCACAGGTGTGAATGTGGGCTCTCACAAACAGTTCACTGGCACTGTGCCACCTGGGCACCCGGAGCAGCAGCCTGAAGGCATCATTGTATGCCACTGTGAGTCTGGGGAAGGACCTGCGACTGTACTTGGTCCACAGAGGAGCTGTGTACGGCGTCAACAACGGCGTTAACGCAGACCTATTTTAACGGCATAATTTATTATTTATGGATTAACGCTCCTATAAAGTCAATGAAGAAGTGCAGAGGACAGTATCAATCAACATTTACTTCTATGGCCGCGTCTGTCGCACTCGAGCCGGTTTCAGTGTGCATCCCTGTTTGTACAAAAACAAAAGCAGAGATTGAGAAACCTGTATTAGACAATCCAAATACTGTCTTTTTTTCAATGTATTTGTATAGCCTCAAATCACAGCAGTAGTTATCTTGGAGGACTTGAAAAACTGAGTCTGTTGAATTTGCCAACACAGATCAGAGAATCAAACACAAGAAATGCAATGAAAAAAACCATATAAGTGACAGATGACCAACGTCCATAAATGTTGCTAACGTCCATAAATGTTGTTGAATGTCAGAAGCGTCTGATGAAGTGGACGTGGCGGTGGCGGTGATCAAAGATGGCTCCACTGCTGCGGCGGACTCAGGTACACTATATATTTGTACAGGAGGTGTTTTTGAGCCCGCCAGGCTTCCGTACAGACTGTGTGCTTGTCCTGCAGGGAGGCAGTTCCTCAAAGTCTTCGATGGAGACGATGCAGTCAAACGCGGATGTTTCCGGACCGTGTCTGTCTCCAAGGCAACCAACAACGATGAAGTGGTGGTGAGAAGTGATGTCACATTATTACTGTTCCATGCTTCCTTCTTTCCTGATTTACAATGCCTCATAATTACAACTGGATGTCACAGAGGGAGGACAGAGACCTTTTACAAGCTGTATTTTATGATTAGGATCTGGCAACTTGCACACAGCAAATACAAAATGAAGTGATGAATGACAGTCAGTAAAGTGAATAATATTGAAATAAAAATGGTGGATGATACATTGTTATATTGACCATGTTAGGAAAATAAACAGCAGATGGAAATGATTATTGATCCATTAAATATTTAGCCATGTTGAACACACTTTCTCTATCTCAATATTTATCTACAGTATCTATCTATTACATGTGTTTATTGTACAGCAGTGTCACAGCAGATGTATTTATTAGTGGTCAGTTTAGACACGTTAACAACAGTGCTAACAACGACTTTAACGCAGACCTATGTTAACGCCATAATTTATTATTTACGGATTAACGCTCCTCTAAAGTCAATGAAGAAGTGCAGAGGACAGTATCAATCAACATTTACTTCTATGGCCGTGTCTGTCGCGCTCGAGCCGGTTTCATCTTCCTCGCAGATAAAGTGTGCATCCCTGTTTGTACAAAAACAAAAGCAGAGATTGAGAAACCTGTATTAGACAATCCAAATACTGTCTTTTTGTAGAGGATTAGATTAATATAAACCTTTTGCTTCATCCAATCGCTTTTCAAAACAACACAAGTGACATTTAGAACAGGGACAAATGTGAGATTAATTGTGATTAGTCCCAAATCAATGAAATATTTCAATAGTTTGACAGCCCTAATTTAAAATCCTCATTAAAACCCACAGACCACTGGCAAAACCCAGAGACCAGCACAGACCATAGAGCAGCACCCCTAGTGGACGCTGACGGAATCATAGGGAAAATAAGCAAATTCTGATTCTTGCATTCACCAGAGCAGACCAAGTTTGAAAACAACTTTAAACAGAAGGAACAGGGGGACATGTTTGATCCTTATGTTAGCGTGGATGGAGCTAAAAAGTCCAAGTCCGTTTTTGTTGATGGAACAATGTTGTTATATGGTATCATCAGGTCAGAATTGCTGCATGTAACTCTGGTCATTGTGTGTTTGACCTGTAGGAGGCAGCACTGAGAGCGTACTACCTGCCCGACGACCCGCTGGACTTCGAGCTGCAGGAGGTGGGACTCCATAGAGCGGCACACACAGACCCCTCGCACAGTGAAGAAGATGTCCTGAACAGCAACGGCCTGAGCCAGGAGCCACAGCCCAGCGAGGAGCAGGGGGAGACCTGGGTCCTGAGAGCCAAGGACAAGTTCAGTGAAATCCTGCGGGTCTACCAGGACTGGGACAGGTCTGTACTCAAGCCCACCCGAGCCCTACACAGAAAAAACAGTAGTGTTTATGTGACTCTTATTCTTGGGTTTCATATCAAGTCAGGGCCGTGGCACAAATGACAAACGTGGGACAGAACCGGACCGGACCGGACGTACCCTGGCGGTGCAGTCTGCCGGGTTTATACACGGAGATATAGTAGAAGAAGAAGCGCTTTCAAAATGCCATCTTTGTGTGCGGTGTACGCTTGTAGCAACCGCACAAAGAGAGAGAAAGACAAGAGTTTGTTCATGTTCCAACTGTGGTCTCATATAAAGGAGGACACTTAAAAAATCACTGGAATGAGGCGGGCGAGGAGGATCAAGGCTTTCCCAGATAAGCGCCCCCTGCAGGCCACCCCAATGAAACGCAGCAATTTCTTCTGTTATTTTTTCCAAAAATGCCCGAAATCAAGACTCTTTTAAGAAATATTTTTTAGTACTCCCTTAGAATTGAGTGTCCCCGATTAAGACTGTTCCAACAACCGTACACCGCACAGGAGGAGAGCCTTTTGACTCCAAAACAGACTTTACATGGCTTTCAATGGGAGCAAAACTGAGTGGTTCCATCTTTGCTCTCTCGCCCCCTACTGGTCAGTTCAATGAAACCCAAGAATAGAATTGAAAAATCAGTGTACTGTATATGGTTGTCTTTAGTCAGAGTTTTAGAGTTAATTCTACTCAACATTGTGCCCAACTTCAGAAGACTACAGCAGAGTGGGGGGTGTTTGAAATTGTCAGTGTCTGCAGATTTTTAAATTCACTTTTAATTCCACTGATGGAGCAAATTTACTTACAAATTTATTTACAAAGACTTCACAAAACACTTTACAGAATTTGCCAACACAGAGAATAGACAAACACAAGAAATGCAATGATGAGATGTCCAGAAATGTTTGTTAAGTCCATAAATATCGTTAAATGCTGAGTGTCCTGGAAATTCTAAAAACCCAATTGGGAGAAAATGAGAAACCTGGAGGAGGCCCACATTGAGGGAGAGATCGGCCCCCGCAGACTTTACTCTACATAATATTGAAAATCCTCTGTCTGGGCTAAAACAACTACGTTACAACAGGACTTATTTTTTATGCTCAGAGAAGTGAGTGAGTAAATGGTTTATGTCAACAGTTTGTAGAGTGAATGAGTGTTGGACAAAACCAGGAAGTTGCTGCGACATAACTGCTATTTTTAGCCTTATCTTGAGCTAAATCTGGCTTCACTGGTTGTCCTCTATTTTTATTTTATGGGCCGTAAAATTGCGTCACCGTTCTGGGATTTCCTGCTCCAGACCTGACTCAGGAGATTCAGACCAGGCTTGGACCAGACTGAGACCAGACTGAGACCAGACTCAGACCAGAGTCAGACCAGACTTAGACCAGACTCAGACTAGACTGAGACTAGACTGAGACCAGACTGAGACCAGACTCAGACCAGACTCAGACCAGACTCAGACCAGACTCAGACCAGACTCAGACCAGACTCAGACCAGACTCAGGCCAGACTCAGACCAGACTCAGACTCTCCTCCAGCTGAAAGTCTGCAGAGCGAGGGTTCAGCACAGAACTGAACCGGAAACTCTCAAATCGGTGACGCACTTTCACGCCACATAAATTTAAATAGCACACAACCAGTGAAGTTATATTTAGTCCACGATGAGTCTAAAAACAGCACAACTATGAGGCAACAACTCAGTCTGGTTTAGTCCTGACTCAGTCCTTGTCTTGGTCTTGGTGAATCCTCAGGCTGCTACTCACTGTCATTTGGCTATTTACAAACCAATGAATATATAATTATTATCATTCATTAATCAAAGCTGAGGTATCTACCATTCAGACCTAAAATATTTTAACTATGAATTAAAATCCATTTAACTAGTTCCTCGCACTCAAAATAAAATAATAATAATAAAAATGATAATAATAATACATATTACTAACATAACACTTTTCATAACATTCAAGCTGCTTCACATGTCTTAGTCTGGTCTGAGTCTGGTCTGAGTCTGGTCTGAGTCTGGTCTAAGTCAGGTTTCAGTCTAGTCTGAGACTAGTGTGTGTCTTAGTCTGGTCTGATTCTGGAGCAGCTCTGAATCTGGTCTAAGTCTGGTCTGAGTATAGTCTGAGTCTGGTCTGAGTTCGGTCTGAGTCTGGTCTAAATCTGGTCTGAGTCTAGTCTGTCTGGTCTGAGTCTGGCCTAAGTGGTCTAAGTCTGGTCTGAGTCTAGTTTAAGTCAGGTCTCAGTCTAGTCTGAGTCTGAGTCTTGTCTGACTCTGCTCTAACTCCCGTCTTAATCTGAGTCTGGTCTGAGTCTGCACCAGGTGTGAGTCTGGTCTGGTCTAAGTCTGGTCTTTTCTAAGTCTGGTCAACGTCTGAGTCAAGTATGCAATAGATTTAATAGGACAAAGACAACACAACTTTTATATTTATATGAGACTTTACTTCAATCTGTTTGATTCACAACCTTTTGCTTTTGTGCCCAACCAACATGAGCTGTTAATTAAAGGGAAAAATGTACGTACCCCAGCTTTAATTTAGCGAGTTTAGTTGCGTTTCAGGAGGAGACACGGACACTTCCTGAGGCTCCATAGTTTAGCTTCAGTATGTGTGTATTTATTGCTGCACAGGTTACGCAAAGACACACACACAACATGCAGAGAATAGTTCTGTGCGTGAATGGTCTTGGATATGGCCACGTTACCGCACCGCCTTTCACCGTGTTGTTATTAGCATGTTGTTGTTAGCGTGTTGTTGTTAGCGTGTTGTTGTTAGCGTGTTGTTATTAGCGTGTTGTTATTAGCGTGTTGTTATTAGCGTGTTGTTGTTAGCGTGTTGTTATTAGCGTGTTGTTATTAGCGTGTTGTTGTTAGCGTGTTGTTGTTAGCGTGTTGTTGTTAGCGTGTTGTTATTAGCGTGTTGTTGTTAGCGTGTTGTTGTTAGCGTGTTGTTGTTAGCGTGTTGTTGTTAGCGTGTTGTTGTTAGCGTGTTGTTGTTAGCGTGTTGTTGTTAGCGTGTTGTTGTTAGCGTGTTGTTATTAGCGTGTTGTTGTTAGCGTGTTGTTGTTAGCGTGTTGTTGTTAGCGTGTTGTTATTAGCGTGTTGTTATTAGCGTGTTGTTATTAGCGTGTTGTTGTTTAGCGTGTTGTTATTAGCGTGTTGTTATTAGCGTGTTGTTGTTAGCGTGTTGTTGTTAGCGTGTTGTTGTTAGCGTGTTGTTATTAGCGTGTTGTTGTTAGCGTGTTGTTGTTAGCGTGTTGTTGTTAGCGTGTTGTTGTTAGCGTGTTGTTGTTAGCGTGTTGTTGTTAGCGTGTTGTTGTTAGCGTGTTGTTGTTAGCGTGTTGTTGTTAGCGTCCACGGAGGGGGCAGACTTCAGTTCACAGCAAACAACAGCACGTGCCCCACGGTCACGCACAAATTCTTTTAAAACTTGAATTCCCAGAGGGCCTACCTGCTCTGTTTCCATCTCACACATGTGGCCGCGGCATTCTGAGTGATATTATGGGATAGATGGGCGGGTCATTCGGACATGTGTCAATGCGGTTTTTTTGTGGGTTTTTTAACACAATTAATGAAAAAAACGCGATTATTTTGACAGCCCTAGTATTTATGTAAAAATAAAAAACATGAATTGAGATTAAGCCAGCTTTATTCTCTCTAATCTCTAATGTCTAATTTTTCAGGTCAGACTCGTCTTTCGTGCAAGTGTCTGTTTCTGAGAAGATCACCGCAGCCACAGCTCTCCATGAGGTCCTGGGTCGACTGGGACGACAGGTGCGCTACTCAAATAAATGTGTCTTTCTGCTTATATTTATGTTAAAAAAAAGAAACGGCATGTGTTTTTATGTCTATTATGAAAGTACAGTCTCTATCTATCAATCTACAGTAGGTCCCATTTCGTTTTGTCGCCTTTCACGCGTGAATAGCACGAGACTCACGTGTGAAACACGCGTCTTTTATTTTTTTTTCCCCCAGTGATGCTGCAATGACCCAAACAACCACCAGGTGGCACTTGTGAGCAGTGCCACCTTGAGCTTTATGACACCCAGTAATAAAGCTCAAGTCTTTGGCGCAGGAGGACCTGGGTTCGAGTACAAGTTAAAGACTTTTGATACAACTCCACAATCAGCACCAAGTTATGAAGATAAAATTATTCCACTTTTGTACTGGCTTTTTATCTTTGCAGGGTTAGGAACATTGTCGGAAAATATTCTGCTTTTAACCTCTTAACTCCCACCTGAAACCGAGCACGTTTTCTCCAGTGTTAAAAAAAAACAACTTAGTAATTAGGCCAACACATTTAAAATAGTTGCTAGACTGTAGTAAACTGTTGTAAACTTCACAATCTGCACCAACCAAACTGCAGGAAAAAAATGCAACGTTATTCAGTAACGGAGTAATCTGATTCATATACTCCCCCCGCTAATAAAATTTGAGGATTGGCTGGGGCTCAAACCCCGATCATCCAAGCGAAAGTCTTGGACAATCCTGCTACGCCACACAGGCGCTGGAGAAAAAACTGGATCTAATACGAAAGAGCGCTGAGTGAATGAGCCGTGCGGATGTGTGGGACGCTTAAAATGCCTTATATGCAAGTTCATGCAAATGTTTGCCATATGATCTGCTACTCCTGTGCATTTTAGAATTCCTAATTAATGGTAGCTATATGTAACATGTGTAGTTTAAATTTTTGTAATTATACACGCCTATATATTGCTAATCAAAGTAAAAGTATTCAGAATACAGTGTACACTCGTGTTTGTTTTGTTCCAATGTTTCACGTTCAATAACGCACTTGCTGCTGGCTATCCCATACTGTAGAAGAAGTCAGAAAGGAACTTTTGAGAAGAAGTGTTTTTATTAAAAAATAAGAAGTAAAAATAAGTAATAAAGTAAAATACAATTGTATTGTTACAGTACTTACAATACAGTGCAGTAAGTTAGTACAGTGTTTTACAGAGTCAATCCTTTTAATAGGCCCGCGTTTTGATAGGCCCGAAGTGAGCAAAAAATCCTTTTGACAAGGAAAGAAGATAACAAGCTGATAACGTTACGTAATTGCACACAAGCAACCAAAAGGTGTGCAACCAAAACTGCCTCAGACAAGAATCGAACCCAGATCCCCCGGATCCTAACTTGCAACTCAAACCATTCGGCCAACATAGTATCACTAGGCAAATAACGTTTGCACGCAGACTTATACCTGAGCGTTTAAGTCGCTGGCAGAGCTAAAGCGGACTTAACCTGCCACCTTGTGGCGATAAGATGTAATATGTTTCACGCAGCTGCGTGATTCATGAAAAGCGTGAGTGAAGACGACAAAACGAAATGGGACCTACTGTACATCTATATCTATATATATCTATCTATAAATGTATCTAATATCAACCCAGCAGGAGCGCACCAGACTCCACCCACTTCCTCAGGTGAGTCCAGTCTTAGAGTAAACTGTTGACCTGAGAAAATGGGTGGAGTCTACTGAGCTTCTGCTTGTCACACCTGCCCTTTCTGGAACCAGTTTGACACCCACGCACTGGAGTGACGCGAGAGTGTTACTCATTCTGGAAATCACATTTTTCACACAGTTGAGCTTCAAAGTTTACACACCCAGCCGGATATCTCATTGTTTTGTTTTTATGATGAACAATAACTAAATTAATACTTTTTTGTCACTTAATGTCGCTTGTGTGAAGCTATGTATTGTCAAATATACAGTATATTTTCTATTTCCAATTCATAACATCAGTCAGTCACTCGGGAGAGATGTCATACATGCAGTTCATGCAAGGCAGCCCAGGAAATTACAAGAACTGGAGGCTTTATTATTCTTTGTATTTTTGAATAGCCCTAAATCCGCCGACACAAATCAGAGAATCAGGTTGTATTTTGTATTGTATTTATTTATTGGTTCCTTTCATGAAAAGACATTGTTCACATAATAATAGTTACATATACATTTTATACATTTACATGAAGGAAAAGAGCTGAAAAGAAGAATACTGTACACTTCTTATATTTTTCTGCCCCTAATTTTGTACCCTGGCTTTTCACATGGTACAATTTTCAAACAGTTCAAACCCAAGAAATGCAATAATAAAAACACATTGGTGCAAAAGGGGCAGAGACCAGTGTCCATAAATGTTGATAAAGTCCATAAATGTTGTTGAATGTGGAGTGTCTTGGATCAGCACCACTGTCCTTTCACTTTAACATCAGAAATGATAAAGAACCTGCTCCACAACCTCCACTAAAGACTTTAAACTGTCATAAATGTGAAGAGGGAACACACACTATTGAGAACTGGGGAATGGAGATTTCGGATCAGGGTCAGAAGAGGAGTTTCCGTGGTCGTATCTTTTTAAAATGGAAAAAAACATTGACAAGAGATGGCTTCAATGCCTAACAATAAGTGGAATAACAGTTTTTACGTTAACATTCACGATCTTCTTGCCTGCCTGGATGTGTAAACTTTCAACTATTTCTCACTTTAGAAATGATCTCACACTCTCAAACATGAAATGCCAAGGTAAATATTCTCGAGATCATGTTTAACACTCGGACTCCCACAATTGTGATCTCCCAGAGCTGTCATTTTGACTGTTCCCATTGAAACTAATGGAGTTCTGAGAAATTTCCCCAAGAGGTTTTCACACATTTTGTTAAAAGTACGTAATGTATACGGTTTTCATTCACTATTAGTATACTATGTGCTAAAATTGTCTTGAAGTACAGCAAAAACAGTTTGTTGAAAGGCTAACGCTAATGCTAAAGACTAAATGCTGCGGTGTGTTGCCATGGTAACTAGCACTTGCTTTTCCCTGGTGGAAATTCTAGCTGAACCAGAACCACTCGAGGATCAGGACCTTGGAGAATAAGTTCACTAACTGCCATAGAAAGAAAGCGACCGAAAATGGCTACATTTGAGCAGTCAAAGTGACGGCTGTGGGAGTTACAGTAAAGAACTAGTTGCATTTCATAGAAGAAAAAAATGTTTAATTTCAGAAAAACAATGACATAGAAATATACTACACATAGATACAGAAAACGTGACAAAGTTGTGCAGATCAAAAAATGTACATGAGTTGAGAAATTCCACTTACACAAAACTAAAAGCCGTCAAAGTGACTGCTGTGTGAGTTCTAGTGTCAACATATGATACATCAGTTGTTTAAAGGTGGATGTCGTTTGTTTCAGGGAGACCAGGAGTCGAGCTATAGTCTGCAGGAGGTCTACATGAGCAACAGACAAGGTGAGAACAAACCCAAAACTAGGCTCCAACCGAGTCTGAAGTGTCTCACTGGACTCTGTTCTCCTCCTCAGTCATGAAGCAAACCCTGATGCCCACGGAGAAAGTCCTGGACAAAGTTCGAGAAATCAGAAAGGTACACAAACATGTGGGAGAACGGGCCTGGATCCAAACACATCTTCTAGTATTACAGCTATACATCTACAAAGTGATTAGATTTACTGCTTTTCCTGAATCCAGTCCTTTTCAGCAAAAACAAAGGATTACGGAGACTGTTTGGATCCGAATAGAGGAGATATGGGGTCTATCAAACCTAATGCACAATCACTTTCTGTTCTATATGTACTGTATACTGTACATAAATATCTTCCTTTCTGCATTGTAAACATCCATCCATCCCTTTTCCATCCAATTCACACACAATTCCTCCTTGTAAACACATGAATCCAATTGCATGATAAGTCTCTATTTCCACTCTTCTTCTGGACAAACACCTGACATATTTCATTCTGAGGAGATATAATTGTTACGACCTTCCATCGCCGACTGCATGTGTGGACTCCGTTTCCCAGGTGTCTTTGCGGCAGATGCACCAGACGCGCTTCTACGTGGTGGAGGACCGGAAGGCGGAGGTGAAGGTGGACCTGCTGATCGGAGGACTGCCCCCCCTGCTGGACACGCAGGAGTACAGCAACATGCTTCACGAACACATGGCCATCAAAAGTAAGTGGATTCAAAAACACACTCTCCCGCTTCTTATGGTAGAACTTTGAAAGAGTGACTTTTCTGTTTCTGCTGTAGGTGACGTAGTGTCAGTGGGACAGGTGTATGGAGCCCAAGGTGAGGTCATATGGCGTGTCCCCCTCCCTTTGCTCTCTCTCTCTCTCTCTCTCTGTTCTCTGTTGTCTGCTCTCTCTGCTCTCTCTTTCTGGCCTCTCTGCTCACTCATGGTCTCTCAGTTCTCTGCTCTCTCTCAGCTCTCTCTGGTCTCTTTCTCTCTCTCTTTCTCTCTCTCTCTCTCTCTCTCTTTCTGTTCTCTGCTCTCTCTTTCTGGCCTCTCTGCTCTCTCCATGGTCTCTCAGTTCTCTGCTCTCTCTCAGCTCTCTCTGGTCTCTTTCTCTGGTCTCTCTTTGCTGTCTCAGTTCTCTCTCTGCTGGTCTCTGCTCTCTGCCTCTCTCTTTCTGTTCTCTCAGCTCTCTCTGGTCTCTATCTCTGGTCTCTATCTCTGCTCTCTCTGCTTTCTCATTACTTTCTCTGCTCTCTGCCTCTCGCTCTCTTGTCTCTCTCTCTGGTGTGTCTCTCTCTGGTTTCCCTCTCTGGTCTCTCTCTCTTGCCTCTCTGATCTCTCTCTGGTCTCTCTTTTGCCTCTCTGGTTCCTCTCTCCGGTCTCTCTCTCTGGTGTCTATTTCTGGTCTCTCTCTCTAGTCTCTCTCTCTTTGCTCTCTGTCTCTGATTCCTCTGCTTTCTCTCTGCTGGTCTTTCTGCTCTCTTTCTCTTAGCTTTCTCTGCTCTCTCTTAGCTCCTCTGCCTCCGTACTTTTAGACATTGTCTGTTTCCAGGCTGGCTCTCGCTCCAGGTCTCGTGCTTTGCGGAGGCAGAGAGAATCTTCATGTTGGCCAAAGACACCACAGTCTCCAACAAACAGCTCACTTCGCTCGTCTGTCCACTCATACAGGTACAAACTCGGGCAAAGTGTAGCCAGATAAAAAGCTGATTTTGAATCGAACAATACAATCATAACCATCTTTGAAAATATGTTTAGAATCAGTATTGCCTGGATTACTGAACATTTCTCATTTCAAATATGCAAAGACATATTCAATATAGTCTCCTCTAAATGAATAGTATGGTGTTTCCTTCATGTAGATCAGGGGTCACCAACCTTTTTGAAACCAAGAGCTACTTCTTGGGTACTGATTAATGCGAAGGGCTACCAGTTTGTTACACACTTAAATAAATTGCCAGATATGGCCAATTTTCTCAATTTACCTTTAATTCTATGTTTTTACTAATAATTAATGATATTTATTTTGTGGAAAAACTTTTATATTTTCTCTAAGTGCACATTTTTCAAATTTAACAAATGATCACTTCTAAGACAGTCCCATTTAATCGCAATTAATCACATTTTAATCGCATATAAATATTTGACCTGAGAACAGTGAGAAGTAATTTTTTTCACATGGATTTTTAGTTTACCATTGAATAATGACTGAATACATGAGGCTTAAGCAACACATGTTAATATGGAGTTTAAGGGATAACTTCTAAACATCAAATAACGTTTCTGTCATTGCCTACACACTCTGACGACAACATATGCTCCTCCTCCTGCTCCTCACACTGACAACAACATACTCTTTTTAAGCCCAAAATCCACTGCACACGCTGTGAGTACTAAAGCTGGGCATGCGCTGTTTGCTAAAGCTTTTATAATACGTTTTTGATGTGTGCATTCGGAGTAAACATCAGCATTAGCAGCTCACACACCTGTATCTCGCTCCTCCTTCTCCTTCTCCTCCTCCTCCACTCACACAGGAGTCACTGCTCCTCCTCCTCACACACAGAGTCCATCGCTCCATACACAGCGCTCATTCCCGTCTAATTTACTCGAATTTAAAGTTGGTCTCTGCTTGTAATAATGTACTTTTGAACAAGAAAAGTCACGGAGCTCCGGTTGGTGCGTCAGTTCAATTGGTCCGTCTGAAACGTATTCAGTGAGGAACGTTCCGCGGTGCAAAAATACATAAGATTAAAATGCGTAATTTTTTTAACGCGCTTTTTTGTGTGTAATTAATTAATCTTTATTAACTTGTTAAAGTCCCGGCTCTAGTTTATATGCCATTTGTAAGTTGCATGTAAGTATGATTTAAACAAGAATAGCACTGGTAAGTGCTGCCATTTGAGCTATTTTTAGAACAGGCCAGCGGGCGACTCATCTGGTCCTTGCGGGCGACCTGGTGCCCGCGGGCACCGCGTTGGTGACCCCTGATGTAGATGCTTCAAACAGCAGTCTCCGGTCGCATAAATGTTTCATGTTGGAGCTTGTTTCATAAATTATTGTTGACCAATAGTCACACGATCTTCAAACATTCACACTTCCTGTTTCTAGATGTAGTAGTTTCACTTTTGCACTGGTTCCACTGGTTTTTGAGACATGTTCCTGAATGATGCAGATGGACATCGGCCATCGGCCCCTTCTGGACCAATGGCTCTGTGTGTTTTTTTTATCATTGCATTTCTTGTGTTTGAACGGTTTGATTCTCTGATCTGTGTTGGTACACTGCAAAAAATGATCAAATGTAGTAGTTGTTGCTTGAATCAAGTGTTAAAAAAGATTGGCCAATGAGACAAAGCTATTTAGACTCATTCCAAAACTGTTGTGTTATTTTCTCATTCCAAGGGAGAACATTTTTGTATCTTATTAAAACAAGATAATTTTGCTTGTACCTTTGGCAAATCTTGTTTTCAGGCAGTCAAAATGTGAATCGATGGTTTTGTAAAGTCCTCTGAGAGATAACTAATGTTGTGATTAAGGGATATACAAACATAAATTGAATTGTGTGTTTGCAGGTGGAGAGTCTGTGCCCGGAGCAGCAGCCGCTCCTGGTGTTTGTGAATCCGAAAAGCGGAGGACTCAAAGGACGAGAGCTGCTGCACGCCTTCAGGAAGATCCTCAACCCTCACCAAGTGTTCGACATCAGCAACGGAGGACCACTGCCGGGGTGAGACAACACACAACTCACACACACACACACACACACACACACACACACACTGCAACGGAGGACCACTGCCGGGGTGAGACACACACACACACACACTGCAACGGAGGACAACTGCCGGGGTGAGACACACACACACACACACACACACTGCAACGGAGGACCACTGCCGGGGTGAGACACACACACACACACACACTGCAACGGAGGACCACTGCCGGGGTGAGACACACACACACACACACACACACACACACACACTGCAACGGAGGACCACTGCCGGGGTGAGACACACACACACACACACACACACACACACACACTGCAACGGAGGACCACTGCCGGGGTGAGACACACACACACACACACACCACACACGCACACACACACACACACACACACACACACACTGCAACGGAGGACCACTGCCGGGGTGAAACACACACACCACACACACACACACACACACACTGCAACGGAGGACCACTGCCGGGGTGAGACACACACCACACACACACACACACACACTGCAACGGAAGACCACTGCTGGGGTGAGACACACACACACACACACACACTGCAACGGAGGACCACTGCCGGGGTGAGCCACACAATACACACAATGCACACACACACACTGCAACGGAGGACCACTGCCGGGGTGAGCCACACAACACACAACACACACACTGCAGACACACACCAATGGAGGACCACTGCCGGGGTGAGCCACACAATACATACACACTCAACACACAGACACACACACACTTCAATGGAAGACCACTGTCGGGGTGAGCCACTGCACACAAAACACACTCACTGCGCACACACAACACACACACAAACTGCAACGGAGGACCACTGCCGGGGTGAGGTACTACACACAAACATACATACTGTATACAACACCCACATGCACACTGCACTCACAACACAATCACACACACACGACACACACAACACACACACTGCATTCAACACAAACACACTGCAATGGAGGACCACTGCCGGGGTGAGCTACACAACACACACAGCACACAACACACGCACACAATACACACACACTATATACACGCACACACAACACACACATACTGCAACGGAGGACCACTGCCATTACACTCACACAAAACACACACTGCACACACATGAGACACGCTCACTGAATTCACAACACACACACACACACACACACGACACACACAACACACACACAAAAATAAAGGTCAGGCAGTAGGATTATTAATGGTGGCTTTATGGAACAGTACCACAATAGTACACACAAAGAACAATCTCCTACAGTCCACTCAGAACGTCATAATTAGATAAATGGTAGTACAGTGTAGTACCGTGTAGTACAGTGTAGTACAGTGTAGTACCGTGTAGTACCGTGTAGTACAGTGTAGTACAGTGTAGTACCGTGTAGTACAGTGTAGTGCAGTGTGACTCTCTCCTTTGGCCTGTGGACTGTAGCGTTGTGCCGTGTCGCCGCAGGCTGCATGTGTTCCGTGACGTGCCCCGCTTCAGGGTGCTGGTGTGTGGGGGAGACGGCTCGGTGGGCTGGGTCCTGTCTGTGCTGGAGACCCTCCGACATAAGATGGTGTGCAAAGAACCTCCACTGGCTATCCTGCCGCTGGGGACAGGTACGGCTCCGCTATCCTCTGTGTGTGTGCGTTTGTGTGTGTGTGTGTGTGTGTGTGTGTGCATGTGCGTAGGTGTGTATGTGTGTGTATCTCAAGTTATCCACCATCAGAGACATGAAGAACTCCATCTTCTTTGAGTAGGCTTTAAAGTAAAACTAAGAAAGCAGCATTCCTCAGTTTTGTGAACCAGAATTCTAGACGCATGTGACAAAAATAATATCATGGATAAATTTAGTTTTTGTCTTCAGTTTTGGCCAAATGCGTATTTTGTAATTATATTTGAACATGCATTTTTTTTACACCATACTAACCACAGTTTACAAGCACAATGTGGCCTGAGCAGATACAACCACATCCTCTTCTCATCTGTGCTCGCTGAATTCATTTTCTTCTTTAGTTTCGCTCACAGTTTGGGACTTGTAGTTGCGTTAACAGTTCCTAACTCCATGCTGTGCTGTTTGAAGCCTCACACAGGTCTCCATGTGTGTGTCCGCAGGGAACGACCTGTCCCGGGTGCTCCGCTGGGGGGCCGGCTACAGCTCTGAGACCCCCCAGTCTGTGCTGCAGAGTGTGGAGGAGGCCGAGGAGGTGCTGATGGACCGCTGGACCATCCTGCTGGACGCGCAGGACCTGAGCCAGAGCGGCACGGACAACGGATACCTGGAGCCGGCCAAGGTCCTGACTAAAAGAGCCTTCAGAGCTGATGTAGACAATGGAGTATTTGTCTTTGGATTCACTCTAGTCTTTAGACACAGATTGTGCAGATGAATAATTACTCTCAATTTGAGATGTGGTTTAATCCTGGTTCAGACCGTGTAAAGTTTAGACCTTCTCCCCATCTCTGTTCCAGATTGTGCAGATGAATAACTACTTTGGGATTGGGATCGATGCCGAGCTCAGTCTGGATTTTCATTTGGCGCGAGAGGACGACCCTGACAAGTTCACCAGCAGGTACCAGGAATAAAGCTGGACTAAAGCTGACTTTAGCCCAGGTTGAGGTTGGTGATTGGTGAGGAACTGACTTCAGCCCAATCAGATGAACATATAGATCATATAAATCAACACGACCTACAGAGTGGCTTATTCACAATTTGTTTGGCTACAGCAGAATATGTTCAATGTCGGCATTGTTTGTTCATACAAAACACAAAAGTTGGTAAAAAAGCACATTTAAAAGTGTGTAATGGTCTTACCTTAAACATGAACAGCGCAGACCAGTTCAGTTCAGACCAGTTTCATGTTTAAGTCCAGATAATACTTTGAGCGTAGATATGTAATCCTCCATTTGGAAATAAGTCCAATGAGTTTTAAAAAGTAAAACAAAATGAGTGTCTCCTCCATAAACTCTAGTGTTTTCGCTAGCTGCCGGTAGCGGACTCTCGGGTGCATCCAATTTCTGAAATCAACCTTACCCTTCTTATCATTCCTATCGTCATTGGAAGCATAACCATACCCTAAGTGGATTTTAAATTACCTTAAAATGTGTTATATGTATTTTAGCCAAACCTGCAGCTGCCCTTAGCAGAGGAAGAACAAGAAAGGAGCTTTTAGATTAAATTGGATGCAGCCAAATTCTGGGCTCACATGCGCCCCCCTGAGGCTGGCCTCAGTTGGTGACATTACAAGCCGTGGTTTGAGCGCAATTAAGACCCATATTTGTTGTCAAAAACACAATTTATGACCCATCCTCTCAACTGTAGACATGTAGATTGTAAAGAAAATATGTTTGAACTTTGTAAGCCGCGATAAACAGAGAAAACATTTCGATAGCAGCGCACGGGCTCCTTCAACAGTGAGCTGTAGCTTTTACGTCTCCCCAGTGAGGCTCGCCTCACAGCGCACTGCTCTTGTCAAATATGAGAAAATATGAAGAAAATCTGCAATTTCAAGGTAAAAATGAATGAAATAAGGCAAAGTTACATTGAAAAAAAACAATACCGCAAATCACTTGATATAGTGACCAAGTATTATTGTTTCCGTATTATTCTTTTTTCTTTCCATAATCTTAGGTGAGGCCATGCCTCACCTGCCTCATCTGACCGCACGTCACTGGCTGGACTAAAGCTGGACTAAAAATCCATTCAACTAAATCTGGACTAAATCTGGACTAAATCTGGACTAAAGCTGGACTGAAGCTGGACCTGGAGTGTGGTTTTCAGGGTTTTCTCTGTCCCCTCAGGTTCCACAATAAAGGCGTGTATGTGAAGGTGGGTCTGCAGAAGATGAGCTACAGTAGAAGTCTCCACAAAGAGCTGCAGCTTCAGGTGGACTTCGAGACGGTTCCTCTGCCCAACATCGAGGGCCTCATCTTCCTCAACATACCCAGGTAATGTGCAAAAACTAACCAATTATATTATTATATTACTATTATCATTATAGCCTTTCCATTCACACTGATGTGTGTGTGCAGCTGGGGCTCCGGGGCCGACCTGTGGGGCTCAGAGAGCGACGCTCGCTTCAGGAAACCCAGCATCGACGATGGCCTCGTGGAGGTGGTGGGGGTCACCGGAGTGGTCCACATGGTACTGTTGTAACTACTACTACTACGACTACTACTACTACTACTGCTACTAAAACTACTACCACTGTTGTTAGTGTTTAAGAGCTGTCCTACAATGCCAACTGCTCACTATGGGGGTTTTTTAAGTGTGACCTATTTTCTCTCTTCAATCTAGCAGAAATCAAATAACCTCCTCTTGTGTCTCTCTGTGTTCAGGGGTCAGGTCTCTTGAACACTTGAACACTTCTTAACCTCCCCGCCCTCGAGAAGTGCCCTACTGCCCTTTATAATGTCACTTTACCTCACTGTACTGCTGTCACCTTACATTGTGTGCACCATGTGCACTTGTATATTGTATATAGTAATTGTAACTCTTTTTTAAATATATTTTTAAATGTATTCCTTAGAAGTGTTTTTTATTCTTTATTTTTTATTCTCTCTCTCTGACTGTTGCACTGAGCCAAAGCAATTTCCAAGTCTGTGACCTCCTGTTACTTACGTGGCAATAAAAATGATTCTGATTCTGATTCTGGAGCGGTCCTGACCCTCCTCTTGTGTCTCTCTGTGGTCAGGGCCAGGTCCAGAGCGGTCCTGAGTCCTGACCCTCCTCTTGTGTCTCTCTGTGGTCAGGGCCAGGTCCAGAGCGGTCCTGAGTCCTGACCCTCCTCTTGTGTCTCTCTGTGGTCAGGGCCAGGTCCAGAGCGGTCCTGAGTCCTGACCCTCCTCTTGTGTCTCTCTGTGGTCAGGGCCAGGTCCAGAGCGGTCCTGAGTCCTGACCCTCCTCTTGTGTCTCTCTGTGGTCAGGGCCAGGTCCAGAGCGGTCCTGACCCTTCTTGTGTCTCTCTGTGGTCAGGGCCAGGTCCAGAGCGGTCCTAAGTCCTGACCCTCCTCTTGTGTCTCTCTGTGGTCAGGGCCAGGTCCAGAGCGGTCCTGAGTCCTGACCCTCCTCTTGTGTCTCTCTGTGGTCAGGGCCAGGTCCAGAGCGGTCCTAGGTCCTGACCCTCTTCTTGTGTCTCTCTGTGGTCAGGGCCAGGTCCAGAGCGGTCCTGAGTCCTGACCCTCTTCTTGTGTCTCTCTGTGGTCAGGGCCAGGTCCAGAGCGGTCCTAGGTCCTGACCCTCCTCTTGTGTCTCTCTGTGGTCAGGGCCAGGTCCAGAGCGGTCCTGAGTCCTGACCCTCCTCTTGTGTCTCTCTGTGGTCAGGGCCAGGTCCAGAGCGGTCCTGAGTCCTGACCCTCCTCTTGTGTCTCTCTGTGGTCAGGGCCAGGTCCAGAGCGGTCCTGAGTCCTGACCCTCCTCTTGTGTCTCTCTGTGGTCAGGGCCAGGTCCAGAGCGGTCTACGCTGTGGGATCCGCATCGCTCAGGGGAACTACATCCGGCTGACAGTCTCTAAGCATGTTCCAGTGCAGGTGGACGGAGAGCCCTGGATCCAGCCGCCCGGACACATCATCATCTCTGCTGCTGGTCCCAAGGTGTGTGCAGGACCTGTACGAGTGTGTGTGTGTGGACATGTGGGGACATAAAACCACTATTAACATCTTCTGTAGGTACGAATGTTGCGGAAGTCAAAGCAGAGGCAGAAGAAGCACGTATCCAGCACTAAAGACCCTCCGTCATCCTGAACCCACCTGGTGCTTTGAGACATTCTGGACTAGTGGATTTAGTCTGAGCGCGTTCACACTGCCACGGGGAATACTGGTATCACCGACCAAGGCACAAGGCGGAGACTAACTTCAAGGTCACTCACAGAAACAGAAATGGAAGCTGGTTCAGTCCTGGTTCAGTCCTGGTTCAGTCCTGGCTCAGTCCTGCCACAGTCCTGCCTCAGTCCTGCCTCAGTCCTGCCTTGGTCCTGTTTGTACTCTGACAATTCTCTCTCTCACAACTGGCAGAACAGGTCATATTAGATCATTTATGGTTCTAAATGAACTTTAAACTATATAAACAGATCTTATATAACTCCTTCTTATCATTCTAGGCTGCCTATATCTGTGCTTTGGCCTTTCTGTGGTTTCACATGTGAATTTTCCTGTTAAAGCGATGCACATGTACTTGAAAGTTCACACATAAAGCCACATTTTTATTTTTCTGGGGGGCCAGATTTCAAGATTATGAATGATAACCCAATATTTCTTCCCACTTGTTGTTAGTGGTTATGTAAAACCATTTAATGTCAAATAAATGTGTTTTCTTTTTTCCAATGACAAATATGTATGACACTCCTCCTCTGACGCTGATCAGAAGTCTCCATCCCCCAGTTCTCAACAGCTTTAACATCGATGACAGCTTGGAGTGTTTTGTGGTAGTTGTGAATGAAGTTCTTTAACCACTAATGGTAATAATAATGCATCAGTTAACGCTTTTTTGGACACTCAAAGACACTTCACATGTCATTATTCTTTCACTCCGTACATGATAAACTACTACTGTAGCCACAGCTGCCCTGGGGCACACTGACAAGTATGTGCCATTGGCCCCTCTGACCACCACCAACCGTTCACACACACACCAGACTCATTCTAGGCAATGGGGGAAGTGTCTTGCCTAAAGACACAAATGCAGTTTGGCACTTTACAGCCGCAGCTGCCCCACTGTGACACCTGGTGTTCCCAGAGGTTAAGTGTCTTGCCCACGGACACAATGACAGCAGGCATCAGCATCAGTGGGAGTTGTGGAGAAAGTCTTGTGGTAGGCTCGAACCCACAACCTTCAGGCTCAAAGGCCAATGCTCTACCAACTGAGCTCCAGTCGCCCACAATAGTAAAGCTGTCCCTTCAAAGAGCCTCCAGTTATAATTTCCTGAGCTGCCGTGCATGGACTGCACGTTTGAGATCTCTCCAGAACGGCTCAATTATGTTATCAATTGAAAATGAAAAAACATGTTAATTTTACAAGAAATGGCTTCACACAAATGGGGCTGGTGCAAGCCCCGGCGATCCAAGATGGCGCCGTATTCCAATGAAGGGTTTGTGCTCAGTGGCACTTTGTGCCGGCACAGTCTCTGACATATTAGCGGAACTCGCAAAGATCCATGGGAAACTCGCCTGTATTTGGGCATCGTCTGGTTCTCCTGGTTCTGCGCAGTGGATTATTTCCCATGATGCGTTGCACCAAATACGCGTGTGTGGCTCTCAGGTACGCTCACAGAGGGGCTCGGCTGCGCTCTGACCAATTGGAGCAGTTCATAAGAGCGGGAGTTAGAGCGAGAGCCAGACGAGCAGAGTTTGTGGCACTAAAGTGTGGATTTAAACAAAACCGAAGGATTCAAGAAGAAAAAAAGTTCCGGTTGTCGAGGGACACTAAATTCCCCACAAAATCCGATCTTTATGAAAGCTGTAGGTTTTCTGTTAGCGCTGTTAACACCCTATCCAGTTATTATAATAGATCCAGGGGCTGGTGCTATGTGTACTGGGTGCAGCTCTGACTGCCAACCCCCCGACCCAGAAATGGATTAAGGGGAAGGATGGATGGCTTCGCACAATCACTAACAAAGAGTTTTTTCATTGTTTTTCATGTATTTTTGTGTTATCATTCATAATCTGTTAAATATGGCCAAAACGATGAATTTGGCGCCCCAGGTCCAAGACTTCTGTTTTAGTTCATGTCCATGCACTGGTCTTCCCAAAGTTACCGTTCCGTTTTCCAATGTTTGTGTTTGGACTTGCTGAATGACTGAATCTGAACACGACGTGCACAGTGCTGGGTGCACACTCTCACTTTGAGTATTTGAAGGGCTGGCGTCGTTGTGTAGTGGTCCTTCACAACTGTCTCCAAACTAAAGGAAAAGGACCTTGTTAATGGTTAAAGTGCTGTAAATTGTATACGTATTTTCAGTCCTGATAAGATCTGAGTTAATCCTCGTTTACACCCGGTGTTCCCAAACTATTCAGACCCACTAATATTTACAATTCAGTTAGTTCCATAATCATGCCACACGCTTTACACTTATTTTTAAAATAATATTTTTAGAAAAAAGTTTATAATGTATAGAATATAGAAATTCTGGAATCTTCTCACAACCCCCAGCTAGTGTCCCGCAATCCCCACTTTGAGAAGCATTGGTCTAAACCACTGGACATCTTAAAGAGCACAGTGAATCCCCAGTAAAAGTCAAAGTTGAAACTGTGCCTTCCGTTCCCATTCCACTTGTATCACTCACGCCCTAAAAACATAGATTCCATTAGTTCACCCGATACCAGTGAGATTGACCACTCTATTGGTCAGAGATTTACCTGTTGTAGGCCACCTGATTGGCCTTGCCTTTTGCAATGGCGCCACCTGCAGGTGAAAGCCTGATCCGACAGAGCTCTAAAGCTACTGTGATGAGAGACCTCTGGGAACACCAGGTGCCACAGTGGGACGGCTGCAAAGTGCCAAACTGTTCTTGGACCATCATCCACACAGTCGTGTGTGTATGTGTGTTTGCGCGTGTGTGTATACGTGCATGTGCGTGTGTGTGTGTGTGTGTGTATGTGTGTGTGTGTATGTGTGTGTGTTGGTTGGTTGGTGCTTTACCCTTATAGATGGATTGTTTCAACCAGAAGGTCGGTTGGACACAAAATGTAAATTTCTCCTGTGTGAGATCAATAAAGTATATCTTATCTTATCTTAACTACAGAGTGGATTAAATAGTGATTAAAAGTTGATAAATTCTTTGGTTTGTTTTAAACAATCCGTGTTGAAGTTGAGGTAGAGATGTTTACTTAAATTATTTCATGTTCTAAACCATGAAATGCCAAAATACATGTATTTTACTTTTACTATATTTATGGTAGTGGCAGTGGACAAATAAACAAAAATAATTATTAATACAAATAATGCACCATTATTTGTTCTTCAAAATGTTATTTTTTAATCCTTGTTAAATAATAAGGATTATATAAATGTTCTACTGTGTTGAGCAGCAGCACGCCCTGCCTTAGAGCTACACACCTAAAGATTATGTGTAGAAAATGTCAAATGTACTTACAGTGACATCCTGGTTCAAAGTCACGTTGTGTCCCTAACAGATCCAGTGTTTTAGCAGAAATGTAGTGACTCCTGCTCGTGATGTGGCTTTACTCTGTCAGATCTGTCCATGTCTAACACGTGTGTGCAATAACGTGTTCTTCAGGAGACACTCGGTGCAGTCATGTTGTGAGTGGGATTTTAGGATTGGTGTAGTATCAATGAAGTCTAGTATTCGCTGAAGCAAAGGGCTGCTTTAGTCTGTGTCTTGTTTAGACCCGTTTTAGTCCTGGTTTATTCCTAGTTTAGACCTGGATTAGACCACAAACAGCAAGTTTCCATCAGTGAAATCATCAGTAGTCTTAAGTATAATGTCCTCGTCTCTTGACACAGTTGTAAATGTTACTGTAAGAGAGGTACATAAAGGATTATACTAGAGAGAGCATCGAGATGGTAAGATATTCACTTCCAGGTATAAGTTGTGATGAGAAGTTCTACTGAAGACCTCATTCAAACTCATGTGCATAGTTTTTCATCATGGTACAGTACTTGCTGGACTGTTAAGGGCACCTGTATATAAACCGCATCAGCTGAACTACAAGAGAAAGTACATTTTGGCCACATATACTTTCACGTTGCATGAACAAAACAACGTCTATAGATTACGGTTTAACTGGTCACAAACTGATTTATTGACAAGATGTTTTTAACCCACTGTTGACTCTATCTTGACATTAAGATTCCTACTAAAAACTCAATCAAGTCAAAATTATAAGTTCATAAATTCTGTTCTGACGATGGCCCTAATCACATATGAAACAAATCCTGTGCATTTCCCTGCTCTTCACATAAACACAACAGGCAGCAGGAATGTTTGCTAAGCTCTGGAGATCAACAGCTGAGAATTGAGCTGTGTCCAAATTTCCTACACCCCAGGGGGCGCTCTAACAAAATAAACGTACATACATTGGTTGCAAAATTCAAAGAAATCACCCAAGGTCCATGTTCTACGTAACAGATGTGAACAAATGATTTTAGACATTACTTAGTTGTATTTTAAAGCAGTAGGAAGTAAACATGACAATAATCAGTGCTTGTGTCCGTATGATGTCACGCACAGTGTTGTATCGTGTGTTTCCACTAGAGCAACAGTCACAATCTGCCATCTGGGGAAACGGAGAAATACCTAATGTGTGTCCAGTGCAGTGTCTTTGGTGAAAATCCATGTTTTCATTCAGATCATATTGAGATGACAGACACAGGTGGAGTCCAGAGCACTAAGGACACAGATACACTATCGCAACATGGCCGCCACAGTGACCACAACATCACCTAAATGACCATAAATGTCCCTATGACTCTATAACAGCCCTATCTGACCCTATGACCCTGTGTATTCAGACCTGTGCAGTGCCTCACAGTCACGTGCCTAGATGTGGATTTATTTTACATGAAGTTGTATAAAGTAAATAGATGTATATTTTTGCAGAAATATGCTGTTTTGTTTTGTTTTCTTTGACATTGAACTGGATGTTTAAATGTTGAATATTAATGCCGTTAATAACATATTGTGACTATTCTAATAAACTGGAGTATATGGAAATGTTATATTTGTAGAGTTTTAGTGGTGTCTGTGTCTTTGCCCTGTTCTTGATCAACACATTTTAAATAAAGT